AGATGATTAGTGAAAATGAACTGAATTGTGGTGCATATGGAGACTATCATTTGCAAGAGACAAATGCAAGCCATGCGGGATTATTAACCGACTATAGATTAAAAAATAAGCAAAAATTAAATACCGCCGAAGCTTTATACTTGAACGAGCCTAAATATATGAGTAAATTCAAGTAGCATTACTAGATCGATATGCTTGACTTATTATCTCTTCAGCGACTTCCCTTGAACTTATATTTGGGTTTTTTATCTTTTATAACAGAGGTTTTTTAATTCAATTAAAGAATATAATTAATCTATTAAATCTAATAATTAACCTTATAAGCTAAGTAATATCTTTTATAAAAAGTGCAAATATTTTATCTATATCAAAACTCACCTTAGGGTTCCAAACAGGACCATCCAAATGCATATCTATATAAACTGAATTACTCTGGTTTTGTGGTATAAAGAACAACCTGAATATTGAATCTACATTGAAATTAGATAGGTTTAGGTTAGCAGAAATCGCTCCAGATGCTCGGTCAATTTGAAACTGTAATCCTGTTGAGCATATACCACTGCTGATGCTTGCTTTTCCCTTAAGATTTTTAAAGGATGTACTGCCTTTATATATATCAACGTTAGCAAATGTAATAACTTCAGATTTATTCTTACTGCCCAGTAAATTACTAATAAATGAATTCAAATCTATATTGGAAAATGTTACTTTCTGAGCTCCTAATTTTACTTCCCCTGAGTAGTTGTTAGACCAGTCGTAAAGACTTTTTCCATGAGTTTTGACTATACCACTTAAATTTATCTGACCCCTTGCATTACTGATTCCTACGGCTTTACTCATCGTGCTAACTTCTAACCCTGAAATAAAAAATTTTGTATACATCGAATCTGACCTAATATAACCCTGAAAAGATACTTTTCCCTCTTCTAGCACGTAGTTTACTTGCCTTACTGTGATAGTATTATTTCTTATTAATGCATCTAAGTGAAAGTCTTTTAAATTACTCTGTCTTATTGTAAATACTTCAGTATTGATACGTACATCTGCATCAAAATTTTCTATGTTTTTAAGAAAGTCAAATCTTTTTGTTGACCACTGAACCTGAGTTATTTTACTTTTTGAAGTATTTGTCTTTTCTATAAAATCAGGTAATTTAATAATATTACCATTAAATTTTTTTCCTATAAGATCAATATCCAATAAAGGCTTGGTATGTCCTTGGTCCATTGATATTCTAACATTGCCAGTAATATCAAACCCTTCTCCATGTACTTGAATTCTATTAGCAACTAACCTATTTTTTTCTATATTCAATAAAAAATCTAAACTTTTAATTTTCTTATCATGCAATATCAAATCATTTATGCTAGTCTTTATGTTTACATCGTGATTAAATTTCTTCAGCCATTGTACTTTATATAAACTACTAAAATTGTATTTATCTGCATTTAGGTTCTGTATAATAAATCTTCCGTCAATCAAACTATGCTTTTTTGTATAACTTACCTTCATTGATCCTTGCAAAAATTCTTCATGATTGAGTAATGTTATATCTGAAATTGACATCACCCTGGGTGCAAAATGTACTTTAGAATGCAAGGTAAATTGATTTTTCTTGTCTTCATTTATTTTTACAAAAGGAAAAAAATATGAAATGAACGATTCAAAATCATTTCCTTCAACTTGAAGATTACCATTAAATTCAGATAATACATTATTACTAGAAACTTCTCCCGATAGGTAAAATATATTATTAATACCTGGTAATTTAAGAAGCGTATTGACTGTTGCTTTACTATCTACAAACTTCACCGCAGTACGAAAATTATCTAATATCTTTTTTTGATAATGAATATTAGAAGCATCTATATTAAAATCCAAGCTCAAATCCTCTGGTATACTTCTTTTAAAACATTCTAATAAATCTTTCACATCCACTTTTTTTTGTGAATTATCTCGTATAAAGTCCAGATCAATCTTACTAAATTTTATACTGACATTAGCATGGCTACTTTTCCTATCGTTGTGTATTGCACCATGGGCTTGGATGCTATTTGACTCAACCTTGAGATCAGTCATCATAAACCCTGCGTCATCCATATCTATATTAGATGATATCTTAATGCTCTCACTAGGAATAAGATGAGATAGTAAACCCAGGTTGATAACTTTCACCAAATCACTTATTGAATCCGAATGATTATTCACAGTTAGCACTAAGTTGCCATTTACTTTTTCCCGCTCTTTACTACCTTGAAATAGTAAACTTATTAGCTTCGATTCAACATTAACATCTATGCTTTTTTTTGTAATATTAATTTTTCCTAAAAAGTCATAATGGCTATCGTTGATCTTTACTTTACCTGAAAATCTTTTATTCTTTTTGATCTTGATCTCTTTTATGTTGATATAATCATCTTCTATGCTTATATGACTATCTTTTATTAGAATGTTTATTATATTGTTGCTAGATTTTTTATTTATAATGTTAAATAAATTTTGTCTATTACTCTTCATATCAAGCAAAGTTATAGATTTTGGCTGAAGTGAAAATAAAAACAGTGATAAAAGTGAGGGTCTTATTTCAACTTGACCCACACTAACTAAGTGTGATAGCTTTTGCTCTTCATGTCCATTATACTGTATATATACATTATGAATGGCTAACTTTGGCAGAATAAACGAAGCTTCAATTTTTCCCATAATATGTATTTTAGCATCATATTCTTTCTCTAACTTCTGTGTGATATATTCTTTATATCTACTCCAATCTTTGAAAGTCACAGCTACATTTGTTAGCACTAATACTAATAAGATTGATAACATGGCGTATATAGAAAATCTCATAATTTATATATGTTTAAGATCACTTAAATTTCTTATAAAGGTCAAATAAAGAGTACCAAAATACACAGTGATACTCAAAGCTATTAGAATAGCTAAATAAACAATACGAGTGAGCATATCATCAAAAAGTAACTCTGCTGATAAGAAGCGAAAAGTACATAGAACTATTGACATCACTACTGTAGCTATAAGTATTTTTACAATATTTGATAACAGTAATTGACTCACTCTATACATTCTATTTATTTTTAAATAGTTAATTAGAAATATAGAATTTATCCAAGTGGAAATAGAAGTGGCAATCGCAATTCCTGTATGTTGATATTTATTCATTAACAAAAGATTAAGCACTATATTTATCCCAAGACATATTAATGAAAATATAGTTGGTATTTTAAGATTACCTTTAGCAAAAAATGCTGGCANCATGGTAATCGAATTCACCGTAAGCAAAAAGTGTAAGCAAAATGATATCAGGAATAATAATAAAAGCAGCAGTCGTTGGCATAATTAATATTAATCCCACATTTAGAGCTTTATTTTGTATTCTTGCTATATTTGCAGCATCACCTACTTGTCTTGAAATCAAAGGAAGAAGTACTGTGCCAATAGCAGTTCCTATCACTCCTTGTGGCAGTTGTGTTAATCTATCAGCATAATATATATAAGACACTGCATTCGGTAGAAAACTTGCCATGATCGTATCAATCCATACTCCTATTTGAGTCACACAATTGTTGATTACTGCAGGTATTATACGCCTAAAAAATAATTTTACTTTACTGCTTGATTTTAGGCTAAAAGTAAAATTTGCCCTTAGTTTATATGCGCTAAACAACATCAACGATAATTGGAGTATTCCACCTACTAATACAGCTATAGAGAGATTATGTGCCGGTGTTGCAACATAAGGTACAAATAGGCTAACAATTAAACAAATATTTAAAATAACTGGGGAAATAGCTGTTGAAGCAAAATGCCGCCTTACCTGTAACATCCCTCCAACTAACGATGTTATTGAAACAAATACTATGTATGGTAGAATAATTCTTGATAAAGTAACGGTAAGAGTAAATTTCCCTTGATCAAAACCAGGAGTAAATACTCTAACTGTATAAGGAAAGGCAATTTGCATAAGAAAGCAGAAAACTACCAAGATAGTAAATGTTATGGATATAATACTACTTGCGAAGTTAAATGCTCTTTTATCATCAGAAGATTCCGCTGAATATAATGGAATAAAACAAGTAGTAAATGCTCCCTCAGCAAAAAATGCACGGAATAAATTAGCAAGGCGGAATGAAGAAAAAAATATATCAGCAAGAGACGTTGCACCAATAAAAGTAGCAATTAATACATCCCTTATCAAACCCGAAACTCTTGAGATAGCTGTAAAAAAGCTAAATGTAAAAATACTTTTAAACATATATGGGAACACTGTACGTAAGTATTACTTTTAAAGAAAGAATAGAAAAAACGCAAGACTTAGCTCTTCACTTTCACATCCTTTGATCTTGGATAAGATTTTCTGACTACATTATACTTTGATAAGTTACTGGACCTCTTTCAAAACTGATTTATGATAAAATTTTTAGGAAAAGGACACCGCGGGATGTATTTAAAGAGCGTAGCTCAGCTTGGACAACAAAATTACTATCAGTTGCGAAAGAGGCCTACTCTGATTTTATTCCACAATTC